ATAGTTTACTTTTCGACGCAACCAGTTGCTGCTTGAGTTTCGAAAAAAGTGAAAGTTAAGGATTCTCATCGTCACGTTCCTCCCCCACGACTGCCCACCACTACTTCATTCTCCTCATGGAATCCTCCTGAAAAATCGTCTTACACCGCTATTAGGTACGAATTTCACTGAACGTTCTTTAAATGTGATTCAATTATTACCAGTTCGTCTGGTACGTATTTCAGCCCCTTCGTTACGAATCCCAACAAATATCGCAACGAGTACACTGCCAGCTGTAACTATCGCCCGAATAATACCTATTTAAGCCACTTTGACGACATCGTCAACTCTGGTTTGTGGAGTAATTGTGTGAATTCATGGAAAATAGTAGTTCACTACTTCAGGAGCCTTTTCATCTGCCCTTTACTCAACTACAAGGTTGATTGAACGGTCACGTAGCCGTACTCGTGAACGCCGGCAGGCAATGCGCTCCCAGAGATCCATGTCCAACTACTACAGGTGAGTTTGAGGCAATCTGGATCACGGGAGCGACCATGGAGATTACATCATCTCTTTTTTTGACGTAGCGAAAAGCTTTGGCCAAGCCTGCTCTGCTGAACCCAGGCCAGTCAATTCTTTCCGCCACGTCCAATCCAAGAATGTCGCTCTTGCATAAGCTCAGTCAGTCTAAATACAAATAGAAGCTTTTATTGCAATGTTCATTTCGTTCCAGATACCTCTACGACTCGTGAGCTTTCAAATAAAAACGATTTGCTTTACTTTTTTTTTGAGCTGGAGAGTCATGTGTTTTGTATGGGTGATGCGGCTTAGCTACATACATAGTCCCTATGTTTTGCTGTTTCAGTTTTTGGGTTGACCATGACAAATTGGTGTTGAGGATCGAGAGCATTTGTTACAGATGATATGCATTTGTGCTGAAGAACGTACTGTTTGTGGTCCCCTTGCTTTACCTCTTTTTGGTGCCAAGCCTCTGGAACCACGCCAGATCTATTCTTGGCTCACCGTACTCAGAGACTTATCCACTAGTGTCTTGCTGACATAGTTGCTTATTAACCAATGATCACAGAAAATCGTAAAGCAGTTACTGTTAGTGTAATCGCTATAGGTCCCCTTGCTAATTTTATAAGTTGGAAAGAGAGCATACCTGTTTAAAAGTCAAATTAAACGATGTTCTCCCAGGTACACATCGCAGTATCCGGCTCCACAACGTGCTCGTGAGTACTCAACGCCGCCGTCGCGTGAGTACAGCAGGCCACCATCGCGAAGCGGATCGTTCATCTCGTTCATGGAGTATTCCGGATCAAAGAACGGCGAACTTTCTCGCAATGCTTCTCGCTCATCCATCTACGACTCTGCTCTTTCTCGTAGCGGGTACAGTACAGTATTGAAGTCTTGAAGACGGTGTTTACTATGACAATAGAGGTAAAGACACGTAGACAAATTAGCCCTCTATTTTGCTGCTTCTCTCCTCCATTTGGGGAACGTCCGTTGCGCGTGTCCGTCGAAAGTAGGTCACCCCGCCTGCTTCGCGCCCTACTGAGGTCTCGAGATGGCATTATAGTACCACCAAGTGTCAGTGTGGCGAATGACTTGCATTTGTGCGTGTTATCTTCTCTTCGAGCTAACTGCCGTGGACCAAGCGCAAATCGTTTGCCCCACTGACAACCGCGACGTCCGTCAAGTATCGCGGGCTGACCCGCCGCATGTGACGGATGCGGCGTGACCTAGTTTCGACGCAGAGAGGAGACTAGTGTTATTCTCCACTCTCAGGATATGAGAGTTAGTGCCTATTTGCACACAAGCCAATCTAACCTTGCGAAATGAAATTCTCTTGTAGTGAGTGCCTTCGTTCAAGCGCTCTACTTTCTCTTTGGGCAACCTGAAAGTGTAAAAGTTGACCTACGTAAGTACCAGAAAACAATGGTGAAGTTTTTATGGTGAAGTTCTAATGAAAAGAAAGGATTTCAACACAGCCTTCGTTTATGATCCTTGCATAGGGTCCCTCGAACGATCAATGAACATAGCCCCATACGGGCCGAGTTGTTTCCGCCGACAGTACGCGCCATGTGTCCACCTTTTTAATGTATCCGTGCAGGCCTTTGAATGACTCGTCGACGAAAAAACAGACTTGTTAGACAAGACCGTTGCTCTTATGTTGTTTTCAACTTCATGGACAAGCTTTATGCTATGCAACCTTCAAAACAAAAGTGGTTTTGTTGATTTAATTACAGGTACCGAATTAATGAGGGGTAGCAGTTCAAGTATATCGCAACAAGTACCTATACTTCCTCTAGAACAAGAGAATTTCTAGTAAACAGAACAGGATAAGCTAACCCGTAGAAAGCGCTGGAATTCCTTGCCAGCTGTATCGCTTTCTCCATCGCAACGTAGGCTTCGAAATGGGCGTTTTGAATCGGATATTTCAATTCAGCTTCTAAAATGATGCTTCTTAGTCAGTGATCCCTCATCGTAATTCATATCGTAGCTAAACTCGATTTTAGTCTACTTTCCGGTCCCTGACTACCATTCAGAACTCCCCTGATTCTGCTCTCCGGAATACCACTGCTTTGACTTTTACAGGAGTATGCCGACCCTTATCCGCCCAATGAAACTTCCTCTCCATTCACAGATCTCTGAGGTATTCCGAATATTCCCTTACCAATCCCGTTCAGACGCTACAATTTGAGAACTGAGCGTGGCGTGAGTATTGCCTCTATACTTTCTGAATGGCGAAAGTTTTCGTGTACTCGGGTGTGCCCGGTGGGGGGGGGGATAACATTTGGGTTTCTCAAGGAACAGGCGCAATAAAAATGAGCAGTTGCAAAAAACACAGCGGAATTAGTGATTGTGATGCCTGCTCCTTCCCTCTGACCCATCCCGACTCCACTCTATGAATTTTTTTTTTGGATTCGTCACCAGATAGGCCCATATGTACTTTGAGTGAACATCTGCACATCCACGAATTGTTGGAGAAAGATTTCTCTTTTTTGATGATATTCTATTGCGTTAACATTGCATCAGTATAGGGCAAACATCGAGTTTCGGTTCTTATTTCAGAGCAAAATAAGGCGAACACTTACTTGTGCGACTTCGTAGAGCTTCAAGAATAATGGACGAGTTTTCCGGTTTGCTAGGGACGCACACTTTGTACTCTCCCACTTTCTGCTGTATTCCATTTATCCACTCATCTTAAAAATGTGCATGTAGTATATAATTCTACCGAGCTCGCTACAAAAAACCACACAGTTATTTCACATTACTTTGACAGAGTCAAGGTAATGGCTAAAAGTTCCAGTCAGTTATCCTTGAATCGCTACCCGTGTGAAGCAACGATTCCTC